GAAAAGGGGTTGGTGCTTTTAGAGACCTGGCAACCTCAGTGCGTAGTGGAGATTCACCTTTCTCGAAAGGTCCGACTGGGAATTCTGATATGGACTGCTAGATTCCATCCTGCTATTAAGAAGATGAAGGATATCATTGATGAAGGATCTCTAGGGGAGATCACAAAGATGTACGCTCATTTTGGTCTCTGGGGAAATGTAATGTTCAAGAAGGACGACATCCGATACGACTACAAACTGGGAGGTGGTGCCTTAATGGATCTCGGTCGTAAGTTGATTTCTTGCTCATTCGATGAGCATTCTCTAATATCTATCCAGCGTACCCGATCAACTACATGCGTTTCCTATCCGCTTCAGAACCGACTGTCCAATCTGCGGAAGCTATATGTCGCTCGGAGAACGTCGATCGCCGCATGGAAACAGAAATGTTGTTTCGCGATTCTATTCCGGCCACTGTGATTGTCGACTTGTCGTTAGACGGCTGGGGGCCCTTTAAGCTCCTCCCCCAGTGGGTAAAGATCGCACTGCGGGTCGAATGTGAGAAGGGATCCGTGGAGATTTGGAACTACCCCCTGCCCTCCTTATGGCACTCGATCACAGTTAAGACCCAGGACGGGAGGCGTCGCGTGGAGAAGGTCTACAAGCCTACGCAGGGCAAGGGGGAAGAATGGTGGTCCGCGTACGTCCTCAGCTATCGCATACGGCGTGGCCATGGTGACCTTTATACGCAGGTATCGCTATCAATTGGAATCGTTCGTGGACAAGCTCCGAGGGCGTAGCCCGGTCGCGTGGAGGACCGCCGAGGACTCAATCAACGAGATGCGTGTCATCGATGCTGTTTATGCAAAGGTAATGACACTCTTTGAGTTGCTTCGTATACACTTGCTCACGTCATACGGCGTCTCAGAGTGGCTTGGCTTTGCGCCCTACCTCCTCCTTTGGAGCTTAGGGTGGGATTCGCAACGACAGCATCATCGCTGCCAACCAGTCGTGTCAGATACATGTTGAAGTCCTGCTTCCTTTAATGCATCGCGAGAGGCGCTTTCTCCGAGTTATTGCCTATTTTCTTTTGCGCTGCAGTGTTGAACACCCCAAAAATCAGCAGCGAGGTTTCTCAGTTGACTAGAACCTGATACTCATAGAACGTCTGACACATTTGGGCGAGCGATGATGGCTCCTGCGGCAACAAGCTGTGAGTCTTAGCCACAATCCCTAGTGGTGTTGACTATAACTGCCAGTTCCCAGTTAATCGTGGTTCATCGAGCGGCTATGTCGAGTCATTCGTCCTAAACTTGGGCACCGCCTTCTGTGTGTCATAATGTAAGACGGCCCCACGCTGAGTCGCTTTCGTTGACGCTCACCATATCTTCACCTGCTAGGGACAGCATTGAGCGTCGATTGAGTGCCGCTAACAGGGCTCCCATCGCGCTTTGTGCGGGCTAGATTTTACGTCCGTGGGTATGACGTCGCCATGGTGCACCCAGATTGTTGGATTGCGAGTCAGCAGGCACATTACATCGTCAAGTCAGCGGCATCTCCGGGGCACAACCTTCCGCCAGGACCCGGGGGAGAGCATCAGGGCCACTGTGTCGCCGGCGAGATCTGGTGCTCAGGTGCAAAGCAATCCTGATAATCAGCTGCCAAACTACGAGCAGTTTAGGGCAGGCAGAACGGAGACCAAATATTTAGCAACCGCCTTACGGCTCCGAGTTGTCAGAGCTCCGAGTGGGGAGGAAACTGTCATTTGAGCGTGAGCATCTTTGACAGTAGTTTCGACTCCTCTATGTGGGAGGTGTCGTCATTTACGCCCTGAAGGTAACGCACACGTTACAGCAAGATGTAGGCAATGCCATATGGTCGCTTAGTTGTCTCTTTCCTTGAATGTGAACAACCACTCGCAGTGCTGCGTTGTGGGATGGCCAATGGTAATAATTGCTCGCTACAGTTACCTGTCGCATCAGCTGTCAATAACTCATGAGTGTTGACGCCATATCCACATGTCACCAGGTTCCTGGAACTCGGTACATCGTCGGTGGACACTCCCCGCTCACACCGTGCATGGCATTTCTGATACGTACCGCGCGAGGTTTCACTCCTACTTCCCGGTGATCGGTGTCTCACAGGTCCGCTTCACATACCTGTGAGTGATATATCACATTCTGTTTTGGTGTGAGGGTGTTCGTAGCGACGAGCGGAGACGCTGACAACCTCAAATACCTGGAGACTACCTAACAAAGGTCGGCACAGTAGATACCTTACGTATGGGCGACATAGTGAATGCCGCTCATCTGCCAGTTTCAGTCGAGGCCCTGTCTCGAAGTGCATGAGGTAAGACGCCATTCAACCTTACCTCACGGCAGCGCCGCCTTCACTCATCGATGGCCGCATACCCGAGTAGGGTGACAGAAATCAATACTCCTGTAGTATACAAGGGGCTGGAACGAGCCCTGTAGCAAGGGCACGGAACGTTTAGTAACAAACGAGGTGCAGATCGAGCAAAACCCCCTTAACACTCGGGAACATCGTGTTCCGCTTTACAGTGACAGTCTACGGGATCGATATTCCCTTTTCTCAGCATGTGGATCCTTTGAAGAAGCGCGGCGAATAGTCAAAAATGAATGTCGGACAGCGCACGATTGGTCGAATCCCAGGCCTCCGATTGTGAGGGCGGGGGAGCCAGGCCCTCCAGCACCGCGTTGAGAACCACGGCCAATCTTAAATGTACGGGCTGCAGCCGGGTCGGCGAGTCCACAACAGCGATATACATTAACCACTGGTTCTCTATCCACGGTCAGGGTCTTTTTTCTCTCGCTCTTGGGCTTTTGATAGTAGTTCTAGCTCTTAGGGACTATCAGATACACACCTTATCTCTCGGTACTCATCTCGGATCGCGTAGTTCACCTGGTGTAGTACTTTCAATTGCCTATCAACAGAGGGCCCAGCTGTCGCCTGACAAGAAAGGAGAAAAACGGTCATGGCCGTGGCTGCCGGACCCGATAACCCCAAATCGCGTCGCTCGGAGTAAGACTACATGGCGTGAGAGCTAAGCAACCTCGGAGTCTTCACATCTGACATCCTTCTTGGATGGCACCAGAATCATGGCGTCTGGTGATCCTTCGAAGAGATTGCCTCTCAAGCTCCTTGCGACGTTATGATATCTAGAGACGCCTCATCTAGGATTAATCGTGGAGTGCATCAATATCATTTGTCTGTATATTTACGAGTGAGCCACTGACATGACTGGGGAACAGTCTGCTCAATGTGAACCTCAGATCATCCAGTCGAAGGATAGTCGTCAGCCGACAAAGCTCAAGAAGATCCAATCTCGTGAGAAAAAGATGTCTGAACATTTGAGAATGTGTATTTTGTGGTCGCACAATTTCCTCCGACAGAGGTCGCCCTATCGGTTGCAGTGCATGCGGCGCCAGCGCAGTACTCGGGGGCCCGGAGCGGAGAACAAGCGGAGCCTGTCATCCCTCGAATAACCTCCATATATGTTTGTGGGAAGTATCGTACTGACCCTGGCTAGAGCGCGCCCTTAATGGGCTGCAGCAGACACGTCCGCATGCATTTTTGCTCTGTACCACGAGTTCCCAATTCACCGTCTTGCACGATCCCTAGAAGTAGGTAGGCACCTCACTCAGCAGCTTACATGCCCTTACACTACATGTAGGGCTCTCCTCTCCACAGACATACTTGAATATAGCGCAATAGGATGTCGCTCAGATATCCTGCTCAATGTAAGTTCTCTGATAATAGCTCTCAGCCATACCGACCTACGTACTTGCCTAAGCTCCCTATATTTTCGTGAGGGAGATCTAACAAACATCGCAGTTCCAAGAATGTCCTTATCCACAACGGTAAAGGTTGTCAGTATGATGTCGTCGCCTTCGCGTTAATCCTCAATAATCAGCGAGCAAAGCCAGCGGGGTCCTCGCCTATGAGCGCGCCCACTAGCTTCATGACTGGGCCATTTGCTGGTTGGACAGTGCGCGTGGAATTGAAAGAACTACAAAAGGCGGATATGGGTCGCAAGTATGTGGACAGAACGCCATCTCAAGGCATGCCTAACTACAAATGAAACCAGGTATGGACAGAAAGATCGCAGGCCTCTCGACCCGCCCCCTGTTCTCCAACTACGGTTCTACCGCGTGTTCAACAATGGGACCGCACATCAGTGGGAGCATGAAATCGATGCCTACACGTACGCGGTACAACTTCTCACTCCACAAACAGGATCTAAGACAGAAATGTAGAGATAACATTGGTATAGGCTGTGTTTGCCATGTTGATCTGTTTCGCAGCCCTCCTGAATCGAAGCCCGCGAAAAGTAATCACCGCCTGCAAGCCCCACGAACTACCAAGGAGATGGCTGTTTCTAGTTTCACCGCTGCATATCCTGAGGAGTTCACATCGCGATCCATCCTCGCTCTCCCACCTCTTTCTCTCTCCACTCTCATGCCTGGCACTGATCCAAGATCCTCGGCGACATCTTCTGGTGCACGGCCGACGTTATTCGAATCGTCCAATCCACGTGCATGCACTCTGCAGATGCCAGTGACAATGCCACCGACTACAATATTACCCTTTCCAAGGCCATCGTCGAGCACGCGTACCGTGGCAATGTTCTCAGGCTCTGATGACTCCTCCGTCTCGCACGCGAAAGCCCAGGTAGCGGTTTCCGATGACGATCAGAACGTTGAAGGGGCGTCAACTTACACGACATTGCTTGTGGGGACGCGGGCTGTGTCAGCATCATGCGTTTACCATGAAGGCAAGAAAATATTAGCGTTCGTCTTTTCGGTGCGTGTGGTACTTTCAGAATTTCATCGCTCCTTCTGCTCAGAAATGTTTGGGTGCAGCAAGCTGATGAAGCCTTTTCTCATTTTCCCCCAGGATCTAGCCGTTAGAGCGGAGGGTTCATTCTTCTTGCGCTACAGGGTCTTCGACATCATGTCAGCGGTCACTGGTGGCACGCAACACCCCGCGCTCGCAGAGACTTTCGGTGGTACATTCCAGGTATACTCCACCAAAAACTTCCCCGGGCTGCAAGCCTCCACGGATCTCACAAAGGTGCGCTGATATGCCTCATGGTTTTTCGTCTCAAAGTGCGATTTCAGATAGTACAGAGTCTATCGTGGCACGGACTACGTGTGAACAAACGCGAGACCGAGCCCGAACGAAAGCGGAAGAAGACAGGATTCCTATAAAGCCCACATATTATGGTTAGCGCGCTAACTAAGCGATAGTCCACCTTGCACGCAGTGGCGCGGCACTGATAGAGCTGTGGCACGCTCAGTTCTATTTTCTTGTGCTTCGTCATTGAATATCTTGATGATCTTCTAAATTTTTGACGAGCTTTTGCCTATGCAGGAAGGTCGCTTCGTTCCAGTCGATAGTCCTGTAAAGATTTCAGCCTCTCCGGTATCTGGAGGTGTCCTCGGCTGACACTTCAATACTCATTCTTCGAAAAATGGACATTGATGTTGAAGTTTGCAAGAGACCGGAAACGAGAATGACAAAGATATGTCGCATTTGTGTGAGCCTTGTCGTTCGAAGGCATGTACAGGAAAGGCTCCGAGGTATTTCAAATTTGGTTGATAATGGCGGCTCCGCGCGCCCAGTCCGAATGGCAATAACCCCGCATGTGTAACATCTTCCCGAGTAATAATATTGTCACAATAGATACAGTCACATTCGTATGCATTAACATACAAACCTCACTCCAAATCAATCATCATTGGAATCTGCTACAAGCCGTCATTACCACATGAACTATATGAGGAGTCGATGAATGTCCAACTTGATGCCCCACATATCGCAGTACAAAATATCGATTTACAGGTGTGTTTCCGCACACACAAAGATATGGACGTAGGGTATGTGGGGTACAAAGCGAAGTCTGACATTCGAATATAGGAGTGTCTATATGACCAGTGAGAATTGACACTCAAGGGATGTGGGCAAGATGCACAGCAAGCGTGAGCTCGTAATGAAATGGTCAGATTAATGGGTGGACTTATACCATGAATGCTGGTGTGCTCAGCACAGAAACAGAAAGGTAGATGCTCGATAAGAAATGTCAATGAATTTTGTAATGCAATATGAGCGACCGCTACATTGTATCAGTTTGCGGGAGGCAGATAGAAATTGGGAGGACCAAACTTCTGATGACATTCGAAACTTCAATGTGGGTTTATATACAATGTCGAATGCCTGCAGTGAAGACACAGGGGATATGTCAAGACATCCATACGCGCAATGGATTGACAGCCAGTCACATTTGGCATGGCATTATCTTCAACGTCAGAAGCACGCAGAGTGTTGACATCCGTCGAACGCAGCAAGTAACTTACCTCAAATATGAGCCACGATATTTGTCGAATATTCTGCACCAACACATTGTACCGATAAATATAGTAACCGAGGGATATTTGCGGACCAAATACATTGTGGCTAATTACTAATACTCAAAGCACGGATATCCCTTATATATTGGTTGAAATGAATCAATCACTTAGTGTATGCCATTTCTGGTTGGCAGATCGGCACGGAATATGGTTTCTACATCTTACACCATCCGAAGCTTCAATTATTGATTACATATCTGGGGAATATTCGTGCTGTAGGTGCTGACAATTTTCCACAATGTAATCAGTCCACAAATATTCCCCGTTTATCATATTCATGAGTACAATGTGTTGGTGCAGAATATTCAACAAATATCGTGGCTCATATTTGAGGAACAATTATGTAATATATTTGCCGCCATATGCGAAGCTCCGAACATGCAGCATTTGTTTAAGGCTTTCCTTCGATGTTCGGAAGTCAAGTTTTCAATCGTCATTTATTACACTTCGTTGGATTTCTGGACGATATTCGGAGAGCGGAAATCTTGGATTGCCCCCAGTAGGAAAAAGTCCAAGGAAGTTGTTGGTCACGTGTGTGTATGTGATGTTTTCACGGTAAGCCGAATGGGGGCCATTCGGAACAACGCCAAACACGATGCCAATGCGCTCGCCACAATCCCAAGTTCCGAAACACGTTCGTCGTATCGACTAGTGTGGGGCTTTATCTAGCCACAACGAGCCACATTTGGCTACACCAACTCGCCCATGAAGCTTCAGCGACAAGGCACGTAGGATATTACCGCCTTGCCAGGGATGGGAAGCTCAGTTCTGCATTGCGTACTAAGAGAGTCCTTTACGGCCCTACAATCCTGACATTTGCTGCATCCAGCCTGCACAATTCACGAAACTGAGCAGCGAATGCAAATTTAGTCTTGTACCAATGGAGGTCATCCTTAGTACCCGTTACGGTTTCGACGAGACGTGCGATCTGATAATGGCCGCTTTTCGGAGGCAGCCAGCTGCCTGGATAGCCCGCTGTGTACGGTGGCTTGGATGGGGTACATCTCCGCGCTCTCGGCTTCCTGATCAATACGCACGATGGGGTCGGCACTGATTCAAATCCACGATTAAGGCAGCCATCTGTTGTGCTGAAGCTTGCACGCTTCAGTGACATGGTCCCTGCATTTGGCTCAGTATGGATTGCCAGTATGTGCAGTGTCCGAAGGTAACTCAATGTACACGTGCACTTCGATCATGCACTGTAAGGGTTCGGTTCGCACATCATTTCGCACGGTGTGGGAAGCTGCATCCTCAACCTCGACCCGTTGTTTCCATGTATGTATTGCCCGACATAGGGCGCCGCCCTCCGACGAATATCAAACTGGATATGGAATAGACTAAAAGATCTCGCCCCGTCAGCGTTGAGCTTGTGCAGAATAATCCACAATTAAATATCTGCAGACATGCATGGCTTTCATACGAAATTGATTTATTGAGATCCTGTAGAAATCTGTCACAGCATTCAAATATTCGGAGGCACTGCGAGAACTTCTGATTAGACCGGGTGAAGAAGGCAGGCCTCTCGGAATCCATCACTGGGCTCTACCAGGCAGGCGGAAGATGTCTGCGAATCAGGCACGTGTAGTACCTTATGCAATCGCGCAATTGACTCGCGGCGAGACTCAATAGTAGGTTCGAGGTCGTTACCATACATTTCTGCCCAACTTGCGTCCCACGGTTAAATCCCCAGGAGATGATCTTTTGATATGATAACGCGCTCTCGCTTTGCTCGCGGTCATCAGAATCCACGAACTCACGAAGTGTCTTCTGACAACGGGGTACGTCTTCGTCTCTATTGGTCGGAAGCAGAGCTTGTAACAGCGCTTCACATGAGAGCGAGGCACGCACCGACAATGTCTTTGGAGATCGGACCATCGCCAAGTTCACGACATTATTACCCCTCTGTATCACTGTTACGATGAATCGCGCCGGTAGAAATTGAGCATCACATTGCGAGATACCGGGGCGTGTGCGCTCCCCTTTGAGAAGGCGGGGAACTTGATGTATCATTCTCATCAGGCCCGCTCGTATAACATCGTCCGGATGCAGTTCACATCCACTGTGCCGGTATCCGAGCGGCGCGTACCCTAGCTGGGCAACCTAAACAAATTAATACACGGAGTTCCGGAGTCAGCGCTCTCAGGGTCAGCTTTGAGAACGCCGTGAGTCTCAGCCCGCGCTGACCTTGAACTTTTACATCACAAACGCACCTGAGGTTGGCGTAGCACCTTACTTGGGTGAACGTGCTTGACGATGGGAATGGAAGATGTGCCTCATGGGAACATGCTCCATGTAAGGGGGCTGGAGATATGCACGGATACCCGCTTCGCCGCAAAAGATGGAATGCAATCGCCCATTTCGTTGTGCGGCGCGAGTGAATTTAGAAGGGGACTATCTTAAATTTGCGAAGATGGACGCAAAAGGAAACATGTTTGCAGGTGGCGTTGCTCTAAAGAATCGCCCTAAAAAAGCAGTCTGAAGTCCCAACAGAAATTCACCTCCGCTTACATTGCATAATCGCGACAGATTCTCTCTACGTGTCCGGCGCAAATATCGGAGCATGCTGACTTGAACTATGGAAGGCTTGTCCCCTTGCGGGAGGTCTGTGACTCTTCGTCAGATCTAGTACCAATTTAACACCTCCGTTAGCAATCAACACGTATAATCATTTCCACGTGACCGTATCTGTTGCTGTGGGCCGTGTTCGCCGTCACAAAGCATGAAACACAAGTCTGCCAATCGCTGATCACTACATAGAGCTTCCTTGCGCGGGGAGAAAAAGCGAAATCCCCGCGACGCGTGCCTGGTGTGCTATATGTGACTATGTCAGACTCATTTACGTTGTAGGCTCGTAACCAACCACCGTTTCGCACTCTATACGGGAACGGGGAAATTGAAGGAGTCAATGTACGCCAGGATCCGACTACTGCAGTGGAGGCGAGCATTGGGAGGCATGTGACGCGATTAGACATTAAATCTCCGAACATACCTAATCTCTGTACTCTATATTTTCTCTCACGGTGAACGCGCTGCTGTCTCGCATTTCAATCGCAACGTATTTTGAGAGTACATAGTTGATGAACTCCGTTGTTGTTTACTTCTACTTCTTCACATTTACCTGGGGAAGATTGGAAGGAGGAAAGAAGGGAAGGAGGGAAGTATATACCGGCATAGCGGCGGCTGATGCTGGGCGCGATCGACGTCTGCTACCCACAAGAGGAGACGCGGAGTGTGAACATGTGCTCCCATAGTGTGGCCAGACTCCGCGGCATCATTCCGATCCAGGGGTCTGGTTGGTGGAGCTGGTTCACAGCCAATTGCTGCGCCCGCCGAAATCTGGGGCCAGAACACTCCAATCACCGCACTAGCCTGGCCCATTGTTTGGAGAAGCGGAGTACTAGTGTATGTCACACCTATTCATGTCTTTCACGAGCACAAGCTCCGCCCTTTAACCCAGCAACCGTCAATCAGTAGAACGACGATTTGGCCCCTAGCTCAAGGCCAGGCGTAATGTCCTTCTCTCAGCGTGTTCATGTACAGCCAGTTCCGTCTTCGACCATCGGGTTGCCTGTCTCATTCGTCGCCGGTCCATTGGCTGGCATGACACTTCGTGCTGAGCTGGAAGAAGTACAATCAGCAAAGATGGGTCGCAAGTGAGTGGTGCTCCATAATATCATGAGTCGGTATGAACTCAACGCCGGCAGATATGGGCACAAGGATCGTAGGGCACTCGATCCCCCGCCCGTTGTGCTCATGAAACTGTACCGGAGAGTGGGATACGGTATCAACGCTCGGGCAGAAGAGGAAATTTTAGATTATGGGTTCGTGTCCATGTCCTTTGATTTTCGCAATGTTGACGTGAATGCCGTCTAGTTCCTTCAACAATGTTGGCCTCGTATGTCAAGCCGATCTTTTTCCGATCCCTGAGACTATCAGCGCAGGCATCCCTGCTGGTCAAGGAACGTCACCAGTGTTGAATCCCCACCAGCACGTGATCCTGCCTCCGGTGTACAATCGTTCTCCTGCTGTTGGTTCTACTTCTCGTGCAATGCCCCTGCGTGATTCTGCATTCAGCTTACCTGGCTTGCCTCAGAGGCCTGCGCCTGATGTACATTTCCCCCATACCCCAGGTCCTATACCAGGGTTCGGGTCAAGCCCCATCATGATACCCAGTCCTCCTGCGCAAATATTTCGACCCGTGTACACCTATCCACCCCCTCTCCATTTGACAATGGCCCCAACGACATCTCAACAGCCATATGCATCGAGCCACAGCTTCCCAGAAAGTCTCCCTCGGTCTGACGTGGTAGCGTACTATGGAGGTCATGCACTGTCAGAGAGTTCAAAATGTACTCAACTCCTCGCGGGCACGATCACTGTTGCTGCGATTTGTATTGACTACAAGGGGAAGAAGTCCCTGATGTTCATATTCTCGGTGCGTTTCTCCTCTTTGGAGGCATCTATATGACCGCCAGCAGCCGCGGTTATCCCACACTAAGCCGTGATGGCATTGACGTCTATCGTACAGGATTTAGCAGTCAGGTCCGAGGGGACATACATGCTACGGTACTCGGCATACGACATTTTCTCCCATGTCCGGCATACTCAGGGACATCCTGCGCTTGCTCAGTGCTTCGGAGGCCCCTTCCATATATACTCCACGAAAGACTTTCCAGGTCTTCACGCTTCTACTGATCTAACGAAGGTTTGTGACGGCTCTACTAGACTTCCCATAGCATTCTCTGACATCGTGCAGCATCTTTCGTTCTACGGGATGCGGCTGCATGCACGAGAACATCAACGCGAAGGAAAGAAACGCAAGGCAGACGATTAAGAACCTCGATCTTCTGAAATCGCGCAGGAGAGCGTTGGCTCATCTGCGACATCATACGGATCGTCATCGGTACAGGACCTGCCTGGTAGCTTCCAGCTTGACAGCTACCGTAGCAGGTTCTAGGTCAGGCGACAGCGACGGTGCGCTTGCATATGGTACGGCAGAGGCTTTGTCATGCCACGGTTTCACGCCCGTACTTCGAACTTGTATAACAGTTGATAGCCGCAGAATCTGTGTAGTGACCAAGGTAATGAGCATAGTCATCAAACCTGTTAGTTCTACTTGTGAACGTCATAGGCGAATATCCTCAGGCTCGGCGCCGAATGTGGGTGTTGATTCCTGTGCGTGACAAGATTTTGATAAGCCTTCGTGGCTCAATAAGAGATGGTCGTCCCAAAATGGTCGACGGCTGCGTACGTTTGAAGGTATCGTAGATCGGCAACTTACTTTTCAAGTAAACGTTTGAAGTTGATATGTGTACAGAAGAGTGATCTTCGTCCTCCGCATTAGAGATCTGGTACAGCGCACCTTGCACATCATGGGTCACTCATCCACGCTCCCAAAATCGATGGTTGACTATGATATTCATCCGCATATCAAGTTGGTTGGTGGCTCGAGTAGAGGGCGCTAACTACAATTAGAGATCTAGATGATCCCAATATTGAGCACAAGATTGGATCGATCCATCACGAGACTGGATGCCTTCCCGCGGAGGTCTGGACGCGATTGCAGAACATAACCGACCTCAACCTCAAATCGTGTCGGCAACGTGGCTGATCTGACTGACCTCGAAAACGACTGCTCTAGTGATATTGGACGCCGAAGAGTCTGGATTGTCACGCTTGCATCTGGAGGGGGGGTCCCTCCTTCCTCCAGGCCAGATCGAGCGCTGCAGACGTTGTTTTCAAGCTCCGCTCTGTTCTCGTTGGCTCAAACGCGGTCGTTCTGCTCAACTCATTCACTCCCGCCATCGGGCGTTGATTGTTGGTAACTTCGGCTGGTAACGACCACCGTCTGGGCCTCTTCAATGGCCAGATGGCACGGACCGACATAACGGGTCTCTTTCCAGATCCTGTGGGAAGGCATCCACTGTCTTCGGATCCTCCAGCTAATATTGTACACGTAAGGTAAGTGGCCGGCACATCTCGCTCAACATCAAACCTCGTGCGAACATAGAGTCACAAGGTAAGCTTTCCTTATTCGTGACCACTGCCTCCTGATCGAAGTCTCCGGATTGTACAGGGTGATACAAGATACGGGCCCGTAAGTATAGGAATGCCTCGAGCGCTGGCGAAGGCTACAAGTGCGTCAAGTTGATGATTGCCAATTTCGCATATGGCGGTTTCTTTAGATACACCTTGCAGGGACGGACGGCCTCCGACGCAAGTTCATTAATTCACATGCCCTGAATGTGCATATCACGGTGTGATTGCTTGCTCCGTGAGGCTAACCGGGCGCCCGAGCACCATATCCTCGGCAAGTCTGACTGAGCAAAAAACGCTTCCAGGCAGGGACCTTGCTTCTGTTCCCTGAGCGTAGGATGCGCATTGCCTGGTGGTACGTTATGATCACCTCTGCCACAGTTGTAACAATTCAGATGGCCCTGATATCGGCCTTAGCGAGGTTTTAAGCGTTTCCCCGGTAGGGGTGTTGACACGGAACCTGGCACGATCTTGCTCCGCGTACTCCGGTATGTCCGTCTCCTAAACTGCACACAGCGACTGATTTTGGTCCCGGGACCCGGCGTTGTCATTTGTACAACGGACATGAATGAATTACAAACCGACAGAGCACATTTGTATCACGTTTAGTCAAGGGTATTGTGGGATGGGTAACTCAACTGCGATTTCAAAATTCGGAGACGAAGGTCAAGTCCTCCAGATCATATCTCGCGCCAGAATCTAGGATCATATTCCTTCCATATGCGGGACTCCTCGATGGCTTACAATAAACTGAATACGCTCACAGCTCGAAGGCAACGAGGAACGGCCATTTCAAAAACTCCGAGAGTCGCCTTATAAAGGCCTGGAAAAGAGAATGGGTCCTCATTCAAGCCCCCCAGCCCTGGTCCAGATTACAATGTGCTACTATCTCAGAACGTATCACAAATACGATTGTGGACACGAAGTCCTATTCAGGAGAGAATACGTGAGTGGACCGCAACTACTAGCAGCCAAAACTGACATTCCACAGCTTGATTGTAATGGTTACAACTGCAGGGCAAGTAGGTTCCACAACCCGAACGAACACATCTGTTACGGTAATCCAGGATGCACCGATGAGTAGGTCTCCACATGTCAGCGCTGCGCATCGCTAATACCGTCGCCAGAATGCCTGATGATCAGCGCTTGGTCATTGTCCAGCCATTAGAGCTTTGTAACCCCTGTCGCGGTATCCCCGAACATCCAACGAATGGCGTGGATGGCCACAGCGAATCGGAAAGCGAGGAAGGTGGATCTGAAGGCAATGGGGATGATGCGGAGTAGACATTACGGACCACGGGAGAGTGCGAGTCGTTCCCTGCAGCTGCCGTCAACCACACTGGCATTCTGATTATATTTACGACGAAACTGTGTTAGCACGACCGATGGGAAATGGTTAAGGCTCTTCGGATGTTGGATAAGACTTGTATCCCATAGCAGCGTCGAATAGATGAACACGATCCGATGATTAGTATCAACCTACGAAGATAGCCTAACATGGCTGGGAGTGAGACATAGAGCGAGCAAAACGACGGTTTGCGTACCACGATCCCTTTGCCAATGATTTTCAAGCTCTCATCCGGACTCTCCAGTCGTTCCAGTCAACGCGCCTGGTGGCTTTGGTATACCTTGAGGAGCTCTCTTCCACAGCCACATGTTCTGCCGAGGGTAAGATGACAGAGGGGAGGGAGGTTCGCGAATGGGTTATGCAGGCCAAAGAGAACGGGTCGCCTGTTATTCATTCGGCCTCCGTGAGGGAGACGGTTTGGTGCAACTTTATTCGCCAGCATCCTTTACGCGATATTGCAAGCAAGCAGACTGTGCCATGGTGTGTACATAGAGCAGTAATTGGCGACGAGAGAATAAAGGAGGCTTGGTTGCTTGCCGCTCATCACATAAGACAGACTTCCGACAAAATAGCCAGTGGAAACCCTGCAGAGCCCTGTCCGCGTCTCGCGTAGCTTACACCAAACCGCATGCGGCCTCCCGCCGTTTGCGTTGCTGGCTCGAAAGTCCGTGCTCACTAAACAGGCTGTGTGTACCTGGAACATTTCAATGTGGCTGTATGTTTGTGGATGCAGTGGGGGTAGGCTCCAAATGACGGACGAGTGAAAGCGATTTGACCTTTGGCTCAGAGGCCTCCCACTATCTGTGAAAATAGATGTCCCAGAGTGGTGATCAGCGCTGAGCTACCGTCCACCGTGCCGTTCCGATAAAACGGCTCTGTATGAATAATGCGTGGGCGACACGTATTACCGGGGCATCGATGGTCCGATGGGCAGCTTCCAAAAGCCAGTCAATGTGCTGATCCGACTAATGGTCAGTCAGAACCGTAGGCGCTCACTCACCATGCAACGTTGTAGACAACGTAGAATGTATTTGACAGTAGCTATGTCGCAGCAGTAGCCACTGCACTCCCCACATGGCACAGAGGCCCGCGTGAAGTCTATCGCGCGACTTCTCCCGCAAGAACCACAGGAGAGGTTATTTGAAACACGCAATCACGGACATTTCCTTACCAAGCATAGCACAGTACATGGCATTCGTCTCCTGGAAAGGCTTGCACTCTGATCTGAACGTATATGCATCGGACGTCAATAAGGTAGGCAGAGTGCGTGACATGCCACTCTACCTCATGGATCCGGACATAAGTGGAATACCATGTCCGCTGAAGCACGACTGCAGAATACTGGTAGATGCCTCCTGTCTGGACATGGAGTTACATATGATCCTGCCGTGAAACTTCGAGGTGGGGAATTCCCCGATGGTAGATGCACTTCTACTTCCGTTATCTTACAGTCAGCGGGTGATAATGTCTTGTCTCTTACCAACATCTAGAAATATGCGAAGCCCGACTTCAAAGGGCTAAGGTTCACCAAATAAGCGAGCGCTGCTCTCATTTGCAATCTAAGCTAGGGGAATTCGTGCTTACTTATGCATAAGCCCAGGCTTCTTGCATGCTGTGGCCAATGCAGAAGGTAACCTGTTAAGCGTACGGAATTGGCTCGGAACACACATACGCAGCTGCATTCTCAATCTGCATACTGCCAGGTGAGGCCGAAGGCTGCCAGGAATGAAGAAGAGAGCCATCGAAGGACATACGTAAGGTATTCAATGCAGCTCCTCGGTATATATTCAGACACTATTTGCATCTCGGATTTTGTTCGGATACACACCTATGACATTGATGTACGACTCCACAGGGATGGTATGCCAGCTGCTTTGTTTCCCCTTCATCGATGTCCCCACTCACCTGAAATTTGAGCTCTTTCTCCCTGTGCCTGAAGCCCGGCTCGTGGCCTCAGCCCTCATCAAAACCCTCAACAGGCCCGGGGCTTTCGAGGTCGGATCGAGCTGGGTCGCAACCATTTTGGGTAGTACCACACGCGTCGAGTTGGTAACCCATCAAATCTTGATCGTTGAACACAGTTGCTGTCGGTGGGTCGCATTGCACGTTGTTAAGTTTATGCAACGTCACTGACCTATAGAATGCCAGTATCCGATCATCAGCGGTTGGAGCTTCACTAGAAACCTAGACGCAGATTAAAATCGGATTGTTTAAGAGATGCGTACTCTTGATATCACATATGATGCAAGATACAGAGGACTGAGACATGTGCTCCCAGCCCCAGGACCGTGGCAGACATGGGATGCACCCCGTGTAGCTTATTCGAGTCGTCCCTGACTGCATCTGACGTGGGCTGACGTCCTGCATAGGCAGCATCCCCGAAAGTTTGTTTGACTTGTTTGCAAAGCTAAGTGTTAGTACTGCGGAATGCATTGCGTCGTACCAGCATGCCTGGGCGAGAACATGCGCGACGACTTATGTAATGTTCACCATGCTTCCCGATCACGAACGACAGCTAATTCCATATCATTAGACCTGTTGAACTCAAAGTGCGCGTAATCGGACTTCTGGCGGGGATGAGCGGGCCCTGGGAACAGCGGTTTAGTTTGGAAAATTGTGGCTGTGATGGTACTCTGCCAGGTCCAGCTAGATGCTTATCCCGACCGTTGCTTCCAAATTCTGCATCGACTTCGCTTGCGCACAAATATTTTCGGGTAGGTCTATCAATATGAAATCAGCTGTAATGACGTCTTATCAAGGCTACAGATCCGCGACTGTGACAAAACAGTCGCCATTGATCCGCGTACTAACGCTACGGTATCTCCTTTTGGGTCTTCTATATGATTTTATTGATATTTGCACCGTCACAAGGAATACGCACTTCCAGATAGCTCGGACTCCGGAGACATCCGAAAGCTGGCCATGCCACCTCTCTGCTTCAAACTATATCATACGAGACAAAGGTAGCAGATATTGCAGTTCCGGTGCCAACTCGGTTTGTGTTACTAACGCCTTGTGTCAGGTCCTTCATCTGTCATTGCTTACGTTGCTTTTATTTTCTGCCTTCGTGTTGCACCTTTGATCCCATGCGGTGTCGGAATGGGCAGTATAACGCACCCGAGCCTATACTTAATGCACTAGAACCTCACGTAAGTCTGAAGACGAGGTAATAGCAGGGTGCATTGCATTGTCTGTTACTTGCTAGATAGCATTTGATGTGCTTGCTGCGACTTGCAACATGCTCTGGCTGAGCGCAAGGAGGTATGTTTCTGCGACAGCGTGTGTGCACTATTTCCATAATCTCACATTTCCGGTAAAGGGAGTATGTCGCTCGTAGAGTGAAGCGACTCGCAAATGAGGAACAACAGTTTCACTTCGTTTAATCCCGAGATTTACTGGTGAAGCTGAATCATACTGTTCATGAACTCCTCGCGCTCTAGATCACTCCAGTTCTATATTCAGGCAGGTGTTCAGGACGATGTCGAATGCCCAACCAACCCTCTGAGGCGGCTATACGGATATGGTCATCACGTACGCTATCAAGAATCAGATGGCACATGTAAGTAGTCTCTGTGGCTAATGTTCAGAAGTGAAGCATGTCTCCACCAGTCAAGATACCCAGGACAGCATGTCGTATCTCTATGCTTTCATCGACAATTACGTGCGCCTATCCTTAACCAATCCACCAGTCTTCTATTCCTGGTTGTATTACATTCTCGCTATTCAACCTCCAGATCGAGTCTCAGTTTCCCGGTCATCGGTACGGCACTCCCGGCTAATGGCTCTCATGACACGCTTCTCCAGATCGTACGGATACGGGTTTGAATGATCCGTGCTAGTACTTGTGAGCAATGAGCACCTTACTCTCAACCTCTCATCTATTGAATATCAAGTAAATACCACAGCGACGTGGTTCCGAACCTTAGTTGCTTCGGAAGTTGAACGAATTGGGCTGATGCCGTGTACATTCACGGATGACAGTGTCATGTAAATAATAGTTATTGAGGCGCAGGTCATCTTCGTAAGATTCTTCGACACCATGATAGCAGGAGCTGTGTACGATCTTTCATCCACGTCCAGATCTCTTCGATAACCCCCTCGAATTCCCGTTCACTCCAGGGTGAACGCTCCTTGTCCTGTGCCGTCAGAGTGAATTCAAGTAAATTCTTCACTGTCACAAGGCCGACCAGGCTCCCCCGGTCCTCAATTAAAATCACCCGCGGCCTGTCAATGGATCAGATAGACGCCCGTAGATTATTGTGTCATCCTATGAAAACCTACCCCATTCTCTTGAAGAGTTGCATCACGATCTCAAGCGGTAGGCTTGGAGAGACCGTCAGCGGAGTCTTGATGTGCACATCAGTGCGGGATGCGACGTAGAGGCACACGTGAGCCATACCTTGTTTACCCACGGCCACAATTGCAACGTCTCGGCAGACGCTGTCGTTTCGATGATCTCCATGGATAGGTCCTCGTCAATTCCAACTGCTGGTCCTGTAGCAATGACCGGAAAATCGACGAGGGAACTGACTTGACTCCGATCCTCTGCGCTCGACTTGAACGTGCATGGAGTATCCTGCGATAAAGCCTGTACGTCCCGCGCCTTATCTTGGGTTCTCATATTCGTAAGCATGTAATGCAGCTCAGTGCGGAGGGCCTCACCCAAGACATAGCGTAACTCGGAACGCTCTATGTATCCTAATAGAGTACTCTTGCTATCGTCGTGAATAATCGGAAACCCCTTCACATCGGTCGCGGCAAGGCGCTCCTCTGGGAGGGTGGATCAGCCATTGATTCTCCTCAAAAGGTACGACATACCTATATCTCGAATGCAGAGCCCACTCGCAGGCAAACGGTGTAAATGCTTTTTCATGACTTTAGATACTGCGGCCAATGAGCATGGCTAGGTATACCGTGAGTATGCGGAGAACTCACCAGGAACATTGTATGCGTGGTCATCCCTTTCGAGGAATGGATAACCATTGAAACGAATCATTTCATCTGCGATGCCGGTTGTACCAAGGAAGTCCCCCACTGCCTTCGTTACTAATAGAACGATCTAGAAGAGGCTAGTCAGAAGTGCGATGAGTGAAATCGAATTGACAAACCATTGTAGGCAGAATGTATGTTAAGGCACCGGTGAGCTCGAACATGATGACAACAACTGTGACAGTGAGTCTCATCACTCCGCTGGCACGCGACACTCAGTTCTCTATATGTCTGAGCGTGAGACAGACCACCTGTACCTGAGAGCGGCTGCGGCGCCGAGGAACGCGTATGTACCCGGCGTAATGCACTGCAAATCAAGCTGGCAAACGGCGAACATGCTTGACTTGGGGTACGCGCTGTGGATGTGAGTGAGCGGTAGGCCAATCATAGAGCGCATTTCAGCGCACCGATAAAGTGCCTTGACCATGATCCCAAGCATACGCCCGAACGTAGCACCAATTGCCATGGACGGGACGAAGATCCCGGCGGGAACTTTACAGCCGTATGATACCACTACAAACCCGATGCGAAGGACAGTAGCAAAGAGCAACGAATTAACCATCGGCCATTGCAATGCAGTCCTAGAGCTCATCAGCAGCCAACAACTTGAAACACGTGCACAAAACTCACTGGCAAATGTTGTCGTAGTCTCCACCGCCTTGACATTCTCTGAAAAGAATCGACATGCTCTCGGTCATATCGATGCGCATAAAACGATTAAACCAGCCAATTATGGCTGTTATCATCGCCAGAATAACAGCTTCGGCCACAGGGAAGCTGCCTAGGTGTTTGCGTCTGAACGCAGCGACCTGCAGATTGAATTTGACCACAAAAGCGCCGTATAGTCCCTTGAACATTGTGAGATGGAAACGTGGAACAATTTTGTCACTGCACTTACTCCAAATATCCCTAGTATGACGAAAAATATGATCTCGAAAAAATGCCAGTCTCGATCGTAAGTGACTTGGAACAACACCAGTTTACCACTGCGATAGGGATTCATTGCCTGTGATAAACGATCTACTCAACTCGACTGCGGCTGCAGCTAGGCTTTTGGTGCTTACAGAGAGGGTCACAGTTGCCATGAGAGCACAGAAGAAACTTCTCCACATTGTCTTTATACTGAATATGCTGCTCATTTCCTGTAGCATGTCACTGATTTTCAATGCGAGCGGTACGAGACAATTCCCAGCAGTGAATACGGACCTCGATTGAGAACATTACACCACCAATCGGGGATCCAAATGCGACTGCGACACCAGCCGCGCTAGATGCTGTCAAGATCTCCCGCATTTTGCCTAGAACACCATCAACTAGTGTGGTAACTGAGAGGACACTACATACCTTGACTTCTTGAGTATCGATTGAATAGACTGGCCACAAGATTGCCTACGCAGCATGCGACATGTACCGAAGGTCCCTCTTTCCCGACAGACAGACCGGATGCGATGACCAGAGGCTGCGTGACCTGAGCAACACTCATGATGATCATCGTGAAGGATACGTACTAATGTAATGCTTTTGATAAAGAATGTCCCAAATCCAAGATACCCCTTCATGACGAAGCCGCCCAGGATACACTTAATCTCTGAGATACCAGACCCTGCGGCGTATTTTGCTGTTGATCTCACTAAATGGGCAGCTGTGAATGAGAAAGTGACCTTCGAACGGGGAACATTGGACAAAGCCTCATATGTATGGCTGAAGACATACGGCAAACAACACATAAATTGTCCAACGGACGGGGAAAGCCGTGCTCCATGAGTGCCAGGAGTCACAACTCTCGTCGCCGCCTTCGATTTCCCAGCAGCAGAACTGACGGTTTAGCCACCAGCCATCTGAGCAGTAGCCCATCTTGAGGTCGGAAAGCCAAGCAGTGACAATAGAGATGAGGGCGGCGTTAACTCCAATGCACATACCTGTCATAGGTGAATACTCATGCACCCCGAAAGCGAGAGGGTATGGCGTACCGACGAGGCTGACCACGAACCAGCTTTGACCTCCATTTACCAGCACGCGAAGCCTTAACCAGAGCCAGACAAGTACCGCTTCTCCTCGCGAGCCGTAGCCTCGATATGTGGTGTGTAGTTTTCGTGCATTCCGCACTCGGCGGTTCCTCTCGATAATAGCATCCTGGATCCAGTCTGGCAAAGGGTTGAGATTGGAGCCATGTCACCGTACAGACGGGAGAATACCTATAGTGGTGAAGTCCTCATACTTCCTTCAGCGCATGTGATTTATTAAATCATTTAAATGTCCGATTGTTTAGCTTATAGTCATACCTTACACGTTCGACTTCTTCGGCCTCCGATTCATCACGTACGCTGACAGCCGGACTATACAATTCAGACCGTTCACGGGACATAACCAGACGGTACCGAACGGGCCTTTTCGAAAGAGTGTACGAGGCCGCGCCTATGAATACAGGATGTGGAGGTGGACGTCTCCTTTGTAGAGTAGCGGTACCGTATAGACGCCTGGGCAGGCAGGGTGGCTGCAGCCAGCGCCTCGGTGCGCCTGATGCGCACGGCGTCTACGAGTGCTAGATTTCTGACCGAAGGTTCCACAAGAGCACGGTTTTCCGTGAAATGTGTTTCTCGACACGTCATATTACGAGAATGGGTATGACTGCGAGGAATGCACGAAATCCACTGCAGCGTTAATCTACAGGAGGAATAGCCTATGAGCTGGTAAGGGCGGCTGCTACGGAGACTCGAACATCGACGTTCACGGATTTGACGGCCGCGTCAGTAAATAGTATCTCTTGGGATGTATTTGATGTGAGCGTATGAGTTCCGCGAACGAAGGATTCCAGGCATATCATCTGCCATCGTTCTGCTCATCGCTATGGAGAAGCTCGCAGTTCAAAGAGGTGTCAAGGCAAAGTGATGTCACATACCGCCGTCTGCTATTCTGTACCCTGATGAATAGCCAATCCACGGCCGCGCGCACGCCGGTCCTGAAACAAGTCAGCAAGCGCACTTCATTATGCAGTATGAGTGCGCACCCTTCTAGAGCAGATATGCCCATCACGTCCAGACTTGCCATGCGATCTCTGCGTTGTTCCAACTCGACTTCGTCGCCGTATCGTCGTCGTGCGGCATCTTGCTTTCCCCGGTACCATTCCTCATAGTCGTTCCGGATCTCCTCAACAGACAGGCTTTGAGGGCTATCTTGCTTATTGGCAAGCAGAAGGAGGGGTACATCTAGAATCTTCGGTGATGAAAGCACGCTATCTTAGCGTCCTTGCATAGTATCAGCAGCAGTTACAGAACGGCCAGTATTTGACAATACATACCGAATACTTCCCACCCCTCGGCCAGTCTGTCGCGGTCTTGGGCATCTATGACGAAGGCCACAGCGTGACAGTCATCGTAGTATCTGTGCCAGATGGACCGGATACCACGTTGACCACCCAAGTCCCAGAATTGAAGGATTGTGGATGGCAGAGTTATCTTGCCCACTGTTCGGCACAAGTCAAACCAACCGCACCAGACAAGTTCACAGATGACGTACTATTCTGACCGACAGTGGGTCCTATCTTGTCTGGAGGAAGGCCAGGGGTATCATTGTATAGCGTCTTAATCTTCTCTAACAATGTCTACAAGACAACTCAGGATATCCCAACGGGGTCGTTCCCCAAGTAACAACACACCGTCTTGCCGGCGCCATCAAGGCCCAAGATGATCACAGAGAATTCCTCCTTGCTGGAAAGATTGGTCTTAGTGGCGACATGAGAACGCTGCGAGAACCAAACCTGGTGAAGTAATCGTAAAAGCCTTTGAGTAAATGGTACATGATAGAGAACAAAGGCGGTTCGTGGTTAGGGTCACTGCATGCCCTTTCCCGGCGGGCCGCACGCCGACCGTGACGCGGGGGTACATCTCAGGCGCTTGCAAGCACCTCCCCGTCGTGCAACATGGGATTCTATTCGTCGTACTTCACCTATGGCTTTCCATCTTTCCTCGCGGTCGTAATAGCCCTCTACCTACTCTTTACCGGTGAGCGGCTAAGCACTTCCGAAGGCGCGTGGTCGTGACATACCAGTGCTGTCCAGGATCTGGAGAAGCGTTCAATGTCGGTCGCTTCCTGGAGGAGACTAGCCCGTATGCGTGGGCATCGACAGGGGTGGGTCTGTGCATAGGACTGAGCGTGCTCGGGGCAGGATGGTATGCTGAGGTCTGTTCGCTCTATGGGAATAGGCTCACGTAGCCCGCAGGGGGATCTTTGTGACGGGCTCTTCGATCCTTGGTGGTGGTGTCAGAGCACCGCGGATACGGACCAAGAACCTCATCAGGTACGTTCCAACATCGCGTATCTCAAAATGCTCTTTTTGAACTGACTCCGATGCAGCATCATCTTCTGTGAAGTCGTGGCCATCTACGGAGTTGTAAGCCGCCCCAAGCGTTCACGAACCAGTCCACTGAAATTGCGCAGATTATTGGCATCGTGTACTCAGCCAAGATCACAAGTGTCCCCGAGTTGCAGCTCTACACCCGGGAGAATTACTTCACAGGCGAGCGTTCACCGGCAGCGTTCGCAATTATCAGGCTCATGTATTGTCAGGCTTCGCTCTCTTCTGGGGCGGCCTCACGGTAGGAGCGTGCAACTTGCTGTGCGGTGTCTGTGTGGGCATCACCGGTTCCACCGCTGCATTAGCAGATGCTGCTGACCCGGACCTCTTCGTGAAGATTCTGATCGTCGAGGTATTCGGTAGCATCCTGGGACTCTTCGGACTCATCGGTACGTCCTCCCAACTCTTCAGTCATAAAAGCTGACAGCCATATCGTGACGCAGTTGGATTGCTTATGATAGGCAGTGCAGGAGAATTTACCGCTGCCGCCTCTGCTGCTGTTGTGTCACCTTACGTCACTGTACATTGAAACAGCGTATTTCTAAGTCTGCGAAGCATTCAGCCCCACACCTTCCTTCCACCGTTCAGCAAAACACTATGGTTATGTCTGTATCCGGGCAGATGTATGACAGGCATGCACTGTACAAGTGCCGTGTTGAGGTATAAGAGAACGATTGTCAGGAATATGAGTTGCTGTTCAACGTCCATGATCAACATAATATGAGAACATCTAGCAAAACCTACGGCATATATGGTAGTGATACAAGAGGTACAAATGTCTAGCGATACAGGACAGAAGATGAGTGAGTGTGTGCTCAGCTATATTATGGAGACGGATAGATGCATGATAGTGGATGTGCCGGCAACGTGGATGTCAACGACATCGAAGAGAGGCTCCCGACTTGTTTCGCCGTGGGTGGCCGTAGGGCTGCACAACGAAGGATGCCAGCTCTATCTTGCAGTCATCGCTGAACGAATCGATCTCTTCATTGACACCTTCCTCATCTGTGTCGTCGTCGTCGTCGCCAGGAGAATTGGGACGCCGTGTCTCTTGTCCGAATCGCTGTAGATCCTCACGCGTTAGCAGCATGGGAGACCTCTGTCTCCGTCTCAGATCTGATTCGGTTGCAAAATGGCGCAGCCTCGGGGCGGGACGGAAAGGGAGCATAGTAGATGGATCTCCAGGTGAGAAGCTGGGAAACGTTCGTAAACGTCTCGGGGAGGCTTGGGCTTCGCGTCTTGGTGATTGTGGGCTTGTCATATTTCTGTCCAAGCTATCTGAGGACATAATCGAGTCGATGTCTGTATTGATATGGCACAATATAAGGAACAGTATATTCAGCTGACGTGACCAGGCGTACCGTCAACAGTCGTGTCTAGTCGTCGGAGAGCATCATGTCGCCTATTTCGGAGAATAGGCGACGACCGCAGTCCCGTTGATGGAGAAACAGGTTGTCGGATGGGCTGTGAAGTGGACGGACCAGACAAAAGTTCAGTAGTTCCAGAAGAGTCCGACTGGGCTGAATTGCGATCACGTCGGCTGCCGAGAACATAATTGCGTTCAAACACCTGACCCGCCGAGAGTTCTTCATGTGGGGGAGGCACTCTATGGCCTGTATGAGAAGCGAGCACGACAGTCAGTCGCTAGGTTACCGAAAGACGTGACGGGAGACCGCACAATGATTTTGTTCCGCCGGATCTGAGGGCTGGCAAATGGTGTACAGACGTGCAGGGAAAGGGATTTTGGTGCCGCAGGGGACATCATCTGTCAGACCATCATAAGAAGACGGCCGGGATGATGCCGGACTGATCTCTGTAGGCGAATCGCAGAGCACTGGAAAGTCGGCCTTCCCACAGTCGGTTTGGGTCCCGGCCGGGAGACGCCATCTGTCAAGACAACTATTGCTGCCATCTGCCACATGCACATAGAATAGTCAGAAGCAACCCTAATAGGAGGATGGAAGCCACATACGGGAAGTCAATCGGGACTCCTGCGTGATCCTTCCCGCATTGGAGCTGTATCTCTCAGGTCTCCCGAGCCCGTCCTGGGACTTCCGGATGACCGCCTACAACGAACAGGAAGTTGTGAGCGGGACAGTAGCTACAGACAACTGGTGCATACCTTGACCTCTCCAAAGTACGAGGACGCACGAGACTTGTATCGCGATGCACGCGAGACTGCCTCGAAGGACAATCTATGAGGGCTGGAGAAGAAATCATCCAGTGCTTCCCTTTCGACTATTAGGCTGTCCGTTGCGAGTGTGAGCGGCGCATTAGCGTAGCATTCCATAGACCACGCACCCGTCGTGGATTGTCTGCAAGTCCCACATTTCCGCCCGCGATAGAAGGCTGAGGTGGGAGCTGAGTTCAGCGAGAGCGGCACTCCTGTACTCGTCGCCCTTGCCCAGAAGCTCCTCGAGGGTAGACCTCCAGAATCGCCTAAGCTCAGTTATATGGGCCTTGACGGGGAGCTGAGGCGGCGCTGGCAGAGAGGTGGGCGAGACAAGCGAGCTCCAGTACCTCTTCATCGTCATGGTCTCATGGATAGATGGACAGTGGAAGAGCGCTGCAAGGCCGTGCTGCTTTTAGACGTATGATGGCACATCATGATATCCAAAGACTTCTTATAGATGAGTCCCTGAAGTGAGCCCAGGGCGCGGGAAGCTCCACATCCACCATTGTCACCGAGACAATTCTCCATCCTATGGCGACGGGGTTAGAGAAAGTACAAGGGAGGGGTGGCCGTTGCACGGCGGCTGCTGTCTGATCAATGTAGGTGCCTGTGGGTCCCTGACTCGTGTTAAGAGAACAACAAAAATGGCGGCGCCAGCAGGTGTCCCCCCTACGCCTCATGTCCGAAAGCTGGGGACACAAGAATGTTTCATCTTAATATCGGTTGCTGAAGGAAGAAGAAGAAATGCAAGGCGCTAGTCTATAAAGGCAGTTGCACTCAGCGCTTTCCTGATACGGATGTCAGAGACGGCTCGATGGCACGTGAGCTGGAACCGTTGATTGGTCTGTCCAGCCTCTTGTCCTTCTGCGCAGCGTTGCGCAGTGCACAGCTACGGGACTATCATAAATTGCTGGAAACATTATATTACTGCAATCCCTTCTTGAGTGAAGTCATGTCGAATTCCGCAGAGCACCCACCCACATACGCCGAAGGCGACAACGGTGCGCCCATGGTCACAGTTCTATGCTTCTAGAATGGAGCGCTCACGTCGGCCTGATACCTGTGGCATAGGCGATGGACATGGCGCTGTGCCAGAATTCGAAGCCCATGCTACCGAGGGAACACCAGATGCAGCTCTCCCCCCGGTTTCGCAGCCTCAGGATGAACACGATGAGGCCCCGCAGGTCGCTGCACTCCGCAGCATGTTTCCCGATTTTGATAGTACCGTCCTGTAAGATTACAATCCCACATTGCACATCTCGCTCTCGTGCGTTCTAATCTACGTACTGCGCTCGGTCCATGCCCGAAGGCAATCCGTCCTGGAGTCCGTCGACTACAACCAGGATCGTGCGATTGATGTCCTGCTCGGGATGAGTGATCCCGAGTATGTATCGACTGCGGTGTCCCCACCCGTACGCATCCACTTTGACTGCACACTGCAGTCCCCGTGCCATGTTTACCCCGTGTTGACGCGGCTAAGCAGCCTGAACACGACCTGGCACTTGATGAACAGCTGGCCCGCCAGCTGGCGCTTGAGGACGAACATCAGGCCCCTCGCGCTCGGGGTCAGGCATGGCCCCGTAGGGGCGATGTACCCTACGAAGCACGGCACCGGACGCCTGGACAGCCACAGTCGCAACAGCAACAACAGCAACAATACGTCACGGGAAGTGAACGAGGGGACTTTCAGGAGTTACAGGAAACACTGGGGCGCATGGCCGAAAGTAAGTAGTGCCAGTAGTGCTGTTCGTCTCGACTACAGCCAGCGGTCGTCAGGCTGCGAGTTATGGTAACAACTGCAGCTGAGCCCGTTGATTCGGATGAAGACATTAGTGCTGATGGACACCTGAACCCACAGGCGGTAAACGAACTTTCAGCTCCATTGTCTCAAAGGCCAAAGCCAAGATCAATGAATACAATCAGCAGAATAGCCAACCACGGTACGTATGCCCGTTACTTCAAGTGTCCAGAAGGGTTTACGTGTCGATTCGTTTTGCGCTTCCTATCCGAATACGGCGTAGGCCCGGCCAGACATCAGCACGACCAACAGAGCAACGATGGGATGCCGCTCCGACGGCACAGCTCGATCGCCATACGGCCGCGGAGGCATACTCACAACAATACTACGCGCAGAACAGGGAATCGAACGCACCGCCGGCCAGAGAGACGCGTACCCCCCCTCTTGTTACTCTGCAAGATGGCAGGAGCTCGTCAAACGATTACAGACAGGTGACAGGATATGACGTAGGTCCCAGTAAGTGATCAACGGAAGCTTCTGATTATGCTTCACATCGTTCACCTGGACGTCTGGTAGAGCTAGATTCCCCCCTGCCCTCCGCCAGTGCCACAGTCCGCCCATCTAGCCCCCAGAACGCGGCCAACAGGTCTTCAATATCGTCTGCACGCCCATCCGGCGAGACCTCGCAGCGTCCGCTCTCTGCAAGCGGGGACCCAATTGATGGAGGTACGTCCTTATGGACCGGCTGTCCTCATTGCCATCCTACACTATGAAGCAACGTTGCATGAGCATTAATATACGGCCTGTAGCAAAGCTCGGCTTATTACCGAAGAGGGCCGTGTCCTTGATAAACACCTCCCAAGTGCCGCACAAATCAGAGGAGGAGGATGAGTTGGAATATGTTGAGAATCCATTCGAGGAAGGCCATAATTGAATCGTTAGAGATGGACAACCGGCTGACGACGATCTGTAATATTGCTAAGCTTTCTGTCATAAAGAACCGTCTTCCGTGTACAACAGTTATTGAACATTATCTTGGCATTTCATAAGGTGGTCGTATGTCTCACAATTATGCATGACGTCTGGCTGCATGTAGGAAAGATTGTAATATGCACCCGCTGCGCGGGAAGCGGCTCGCGAAGCGCTTTATTCTACGTCGCACTGCCGTTGAAAGACGTATTGATAGGACAATTATTTATACCTGAGTCAGTGAAATTCCCAAGAGAAGCCTTAAGTTTCAGGACATTTGGTGAAGCTGTATGGCAGCGGGCCACAGTGACTGGGCGTCTAACTGCTGTTCGTGCAGTTATACTTACACAGCCAGACCGTCAGATAGACTGAGGTCCCGCTCACCGTTCAACGTGTCGCCGCCGCCCTGACGCCTCGCTCTCGTCACGTGCGTGTCCCGGGACATGCTGACATAATGATATTCCTTTATCGGGTAGTCACGCCCGTGTCCCGTACCAGGAAAGCTCGCTTCGCTCCAGGCTCCTTCCCGCCGTCTTCGGGATTTAGGAGGAGCTTCATCGGACAGCGGTCCTCATAGCTAAATCCTAAGTGCTGGGCAGTGCATTCGGGATGTGTGGGAATGCGACAACGGGCAATGCTGATCCCATCAAAGCTATTGGCCTTTGGGCCATTACGCTTTGATGCTGCTCTGCGCGCCACTGCGATCCACATCCCTTTGTCACCACCTCCTCTTTTCCCCAGCTTTTTGTCCTCACTTAGCTTTTCTCATGTATATATACTTGCTGCGAGCATGCAGAAGACCTCAGCCATCTCATGCATTGCTCGCAGGTACATTGTCATGAGTTGGTACAGTGTCTAGCTGTTTTTTAACTTTTTCCTTTTTGCGGGCTCAAACCCGCGACCTCTGTACTATAGGCTCGAATGGACAAGTCCTTATCTACTGTACAATTAGATTAGATGGGATGGCAGTGCACGGCACAGCTTGGGCTCCGCTGACACAGCCGCTCTGACTCACCGGCCCCCGGGACTGCGTCAGCATGCTGCACACGGACCAGCTGCGCACAGACCAGCGCGCACAGCCTGCCCTTATCTCCCCATGTATATAAGCCGGCCTCTGCTGCCCTAGGGACCTCAGTTTCGACCTCTTGTCCCTAGGTCAGTAAGCTCCCATTTGTATCCTTTACTTACCTCTACTAACTAATACATTTCTTGTTCCTAGCCTTAGGTTTGAGCCTAGCTCACCATCGCTTCGGTAAGATAAGTCGAACACCCCCAGCTTTTGGTTTTCCCCTGTTGCTCGACCCTAAGTCGCGACATTAGGTCGAAACCCCCCAACGCTGCTGGTGTTCCAAAACAAAACACTCATCTCTCCTCTCCTATAGGTTGGGTGGTGCGCACCCCTACTATACCCTACGATACTTAGATAGCCTACAATACATCGCCACCACTTAAGGGACAAACTCTTCGGTATCTGCACTTCAGTGGACGATACTTGTCCTCACGGACGCGTGGCTTAGGTTCCTGCTGCATACTAGCCAAAAGCAGTACTGGGCCCCACGTGAACTGCGAACCTTAGTGTCTTCTCGGGCGCCGTAGGTGTAAGCTAGCTAGCACGGCCTTTCGTAGCATGCACACCTCCCCTTCCTTCCCCCATCACCGTGGCTGACGAAGTCTTCGACTGCTCTCGACTTGAGCACGCCTTCGACACCCAGGAGCAGGTCGACGTCTCTCGCGACGATCCGGAAAGCAACAGAAACCTAGCCCCTTTCTTCATCTGTGATCGGCAACCGTGCCCTAATCGCACTCCACGGTCCATCACTACCGACGAAGGGCGCTATGTGCCAATCCGACGAGTCCAGCACCCCAGCGGCCCTGCACTCCGGTACGCTGGCACTTCAAGATCCACATCTCGCCACATCACTCCTGCCCCGTCTCGACCTACCTCCCCAGGCACCCACATCCCCCAACCTGTCGCCAGTACAGGTCAAGCGCAAGGAGATCCCCATCTCCCTCGAGGAACTGAGGCAGTCGCACAGCCTACAGCGACCCCTCAAGCGATCCCCCAGCCCTCCTTGGGGCCGTGGTTGGAAAGGCCTCCCAAGACCGAGCCCCGCGACACTCCACCGCATTCTTGGGCCAGCTCGTCGTCAGCGGTCACCACCTCGACTTCAGTCCCTGTCCTATGTCACCCCGCCTCCGGGCTTCCTCAATCGTCTTCACCGCCGTCGCCGCTGCGAGGCCGCTCGAGCACTTGTTCCTCGCGAAGTTCGCCCGGCGGACAGTCACAACAGTCGCCTCCATCCGCGGGCAGTCCTTCATCCCCCTTGTCGCCGATAATGTCCTCTCCTGCTGCTGCCCCTGATAAGGAGACATTGAAGCTCCTCCTCCTGCTCCGATATGATGGGAAGTCAGTGGTCGAATGCAACCGCTTCATCTCGCAGTTGCTCATCTACTGGACGATCAACACGGCCCTCTCTTCCCTTGAGCTGAAGATTCAGGTTGCCCTCAGTCTCCTCGATGGTGATGCGTGAGCTTGGGCCACCCCCATCTTCTCCCAGCTCGCCTCTGTCCAAATCGGGATCCAGGGAGCGACGACCCCCTTCGCCGACAAAGCGGCCTTCCTTAAGGCATTTAAGGCCCATTTTGGCAATCTTGACGACGCTGCCGCGGCACAGGTGGAGCTCGCCAAGCTCTGTGCCGACAAAACCATGCGCGAGAAGCGCACCGCCGCAGAATTCTCTGCGCTGTTCAAGGGTCTGGCAGACCGTTCCGGGTATGGGAACCTGGAACTACGCAACAAGTACCTGAGCGGCATCCCTTCCCGCGTCTATTGAAAGCTCGAGCTCGAAACCTTTGCCACGTGGCAAGCCGCTGACAAGCGCGCCACTGAGGTCGAGCAAATCCTCGACGTCAGCCGGGCTCGTCGGCCCGAGCTAAACAGCTTCTTCTCAGCTCAAGGCCGAGGACGCGGAGGGGCACGTGGTGGTGCACCCCAATCCCACGCAGCTTCGGCCAGCATCAATGCGGCTGTCGGAAAAGGAAACTTCCCCAGCAGTTGTTACGGCTGTGGAAAGCAAGGGTACCAACGCTTTGAGTGCCCCAATTGTAAGGACAAGCCTTACACAAAACGCGCCGACGCGCGGGCTACGGTTGCCTCGGGTTCCACCCAGGCAGCGACAAGTGCCCCTGTCGCTTCATCCTCAGCGAGTACAAGCGCCGCTTCAGCAAAATCGGATATTTCCGAGCTGGCGGACTTGATAGCACAGATGAAGTCAATGCGCGAGGAGCTTGAGCACTATCGGGCGATGAAGGAGGAGGGTTTTTGATCCGGTCCGTGCTTCGTGCCGCATGCATCGGGCCAAGTATATCGTGTAATAAGTATAACGTATTGTCAACTGCGATGGTGTACGAATTGGACCAGGGGTCCCAACATTTTCACATCCCAGTTCAACTTCAAGGGAAAAGACAGCACAAGGACATAATTGCTATGGTGGACAGCGGAGCCACCACGAAGTTTATCAACAAGTGATTCATTATAGAAAATAAGGTGCAAACGCGGAAATTGAAAGAACCAATTCCGCTATACAATATCGACGGCACCCTGAATAAGGATGGAAGCATCTCAGAGGTAGCGGTGCTACAGATGCACATAGGAGAACATGTCGAGAAGACAGTGTTCACGGTCACGGACTGTAAGGATTTACATGCATGCGCCGGTCTCACATCATAACCTCTACACCAAAAGGGCGCAATGTCAAGCTTGGCTTGACATCTGACCGGAGGTATATATGCTGATCATATGCCAACTCATGACACGGACATTGGTCCAGAGGATGTAATCGTTGGGTTAGACTGGCTACGTGAGCACAACCCCGAGATCGATTGGGAAAAAGGCTCCCTCAAATTATCACGATGCCCTGAAACATGCAGTGCCAGGAGAATTGGCCGAATGGAGCAAGCAGCGACTGCGCGTGATACGGGGGTCAGGCCCACGGCACGCAGGTGTTCGCCGAAGTCCAAACGGTCGGTCATAGGTGCCTGCCGGAGTAAGGTACTCCCGGACTGTGAACCCGAAGAAGATCCAGCGGAAGTAGAGTGGGACAAGGCTGACTTGATCGAAGCCTGGGAGCAAGGTGTCACGCTTCCCGGCGCCCCTCAGCTGTTTGTCGCAGCAGGGCATACGTACTCCTAGCTGTTCGCTGAGGAGGAGATCAAAAAGAAGGTCATTAAGACTGCCGAGGAGTCGGTACCTAAACAATACCACGAGTTCCTGAATGTCTTCTCCAAAGAAGCGTCAGAACGGCTACCCAAAAGGAAGCCTTATGATCACACAATCGAACTCGTACCCGGCTACTCGACGTTCCACTCGAAGGTGTATCCCCTATCAAACAATGAGCAGGAGGAACTCGATAAGTTCCTAAAGGAGCAACTAGCAAAGGGCTACATACGGGAATTGAAGTCACCAATCTTGTCCCCCTTCTTCTTCATCAAAAAGAAGGAAGGAACACTTCGACCAGTGCAGGATTACCGCCGGTTGAATGCAATCACTGTCAAAAATCACTACCTGCTGCCACTGATTGCCGAGATGGTGGACAAGCTCCATGGTGCTACGCTCTTTACCAAGTTCGATGTCAGATGGGGATATAACAATGTCCAGATCAAAGCTGGTGACGAGTGGAAGGCGGCCTTCATAACTAACCGGGGACTATACGAACCTCTGGTGATGTTCTTTGGCCTCACTAATTCCCCCACGACCTTCCAGGCAATGATGAACGAGATCTTCCATAATCTCATTGTCGGTGGCAAGATCCTCGTGTACCTGGATGACATACTCATCTTCTCCACCAACAAAAAGGAGCATGAAAAAGTCACACGTGAAGTTCTTTGTCGCCTTCAGGACAATGATCTGTTCCTGAAGCCTGAGAAATGTGAGTGGGATGTCCCCAAGGTCGACTACGTCGGCTATGTGTTTGGTGGCGATGAGGTGGCGATGGATCCCGCGAAGCTGAAAGGTATCAATGAGTGGCCGGTGCCCTGGAACAAAAAAGATGTTCAGAAGTTCCAGGGGTTCTCCAACTTTTACCGCCGCTTCATTAAGGACTTCGCTAAGATCTCGCGACCACTCGACCGGCTCACAGGGAACGACCCATGGCATTGGGGCGAGGAAGAGCAGCATGCCTTTGATGAGCTCAAGTGCCTCTTTGCTACCACACCAGTCTTGGCATTGTATGACCCAAATCAAGAGACACGTATTGAGGTTGATGCCTCGGGCTACGCCACTGGTGGTGTGTTGATGCAGAAGTAGGACGACGGCAAATGGCACCCCATCGCCTACCGATCTCACACTATGGACCCAGCCCAGCGTAACTATGGGATCTACGATAAGGAGATGCTCACGATCATTGAGGCACTGGACGACTGGCGCCACTATCTCAAGGGTTTACCCAATCAGTTTGAGATTGTCACCGATCACAAAAACCTCGAATACTGGTGCACGTCCCAGCACCTCACGCGTTGTCAAGCGCGATGGTCGCTATTCCTGGCTTGCTTCGATTTCTGCATCACACACAAGGCTGGAACGTCGAATGGAAAAGCTGATGCCCTGTCACGCCGATCAGACCATCAGGTGGGCGATGAGGACAATAATACCGATCAGGTGGTTCTCAAGCCAGAGCGCTTCCGCATCGCCTCCGCCAGACGCGGTCATGCCTCGGTGACAGCCGATCAGTCGCTTCTGAAGTGCATTCGGGAATGTTCGGAGAAGGATCGGGAGGTGGCTGAGGCACTTGAAAAGGTGCAGGACCTCAGGCTGCCCCGGCTGCAAAGGGGTTTCGAGGAGTGGAATGCCGAACAAGGGCTCCTGTTGTTCCGCGGATGCGTATATGTCCCAAAGAACGCAGAGCTCCGGCGGGATATAGTCAAGATCCACCACGACTCGCCGATTGCCGGACATGGTGGTCGTGCCAAAACCCTGGAGCTCGTATCACGAAACTACTGGTGGCCTGGGATGTCTAAATTTGTCAATGAGTATGTAAGCACCTGTGATGTGTGCAACCGTACCAAGACATTCCCAGCCAAGCCCCAAGGTCCGCTGAAGCCGAATGAGATCCCCGAGTGCCCGTGGCAGATCATCACCACAGATATGATCATCGGCTTGTCGAAGTCTGATGGGTTCGACTCGATCCTGGTTACCGCCGACCGCTTCACAAAGCAGGTCCACTTCTCGGCCTGTCATGAGACCCTGACAGCAGAAGGTGCAGCAGACCTGTACATCCGCAATGTGTTCAAGCATCATGGGGCCCCTGCCAAAGTCATATCAGACCGAGGTCCCCAGTTTGCTTCAAAGTATCTCCATGCGGTGTACAAAGGACTGGGGATCGAACCGGCACTGTCTACAGTGTTCCACCCTCAGACGGACGGCCAGACTGAGCGCTGGAATCAGGAGATCGAGCAATACCTGTGTGCTTTCACAAGCCACAGGCAGGATGATTGGGCGAAGCAGTTGCCGCTCGCGGAATTCGCACTGAACAACCGAGTTCACTCCGTGACCGGGCACTCCCCCTTCTTTCTGCATCAGGGGTACAATCCTGAGATCCAGGTTCGGATCAATCCAATGTCCGCAATGCCCGCTGCTGCCGATCGGCTTAAGATCCTGAAGGAGATTCACAACGATACGTGCTCTGTGCTTGAGTTGTCAGCCGAGCGCATGAAAATATACTACGACAAGCACGTGCAGGAGGCACCGGTCTTTGCACCGCGGGACAAGGTCTGTCGCGACTTAGGGTCGAGCGACAGGGGAAACACAGACTTTGAAGGATGCTGGGGGCGTTCGACTGGATCTTACCGAAGCGATGGTGAGCAAGGCTCAAACCTAAGGCTAGGGACAAGTAATATATTAGTTAGTTAAGTAAGAAAAGGAATACAAGTGAGGGCTTACTGACCTAGGGACAAGAGGTCAAAACTGAGGTCCCTAGGGCAGCAGAGGCCGGCTTATATACAGGGGAGGTTAAGGGCAGGCTGTGCGCATTGGTCTGTGCGCAGCTGGTCCGTGCACAGCATGCCGACGCGGCCCCGGGGGCCGGTGAGTCAGAGCGGCTGTGTCAGCGGAGCCCGAGCTGTGCCGTGCACTGCCGTCCTATCTAATCTGATCGTACAGTAGATAATGACGCGTCCATATCGGGCATATAGTACAGAGGTCGCGGGTTCGAGTCCGCGAAAAGGAAAAAATTAAAAAACGGCTAGACGCCGTGTCAACTCGTGACAGTCATGGGAACTGGCGCACAATGTTGCCAATGCGCCGGCCCTCATAGCCAACTTCCACCGGAAGAATCCGAATGCCCCTCGCCACCTCAATGCCACTGTCTTTAGTGGTCTCAACTTTCAGCTGATGCCTTTGCCGCTGACTGAAGCACGCTGCCGCTCCGGGTGGGAGATGGGCAAGGGCGCCTCGCATGAGGTCATGCGCCATTGAGGGGGGGGGTAATGTCACGACTTGGTATGGCATCTAGCCGTTTTTAATTTTTTCCTTTTCACGGGCTCGAACCCGCGACCTCTGTACTACTTGCCTGATACGGACACGTCGTTATCTACTGTACGATTAGATTAGATGGGACGGCAGTGCACGGCATAGCTCGGCCCCCGC